AAGGAGAAGAATCAAAGCCACAGCCCCATCAACACAGAGCCAGTTTGGCATCACAGGGAAGAGCAGAGTTGTCTGTATTTAAATCCTGACTCGCTGACCACCAGCTGTGTGATCTTGGGCAGCTGTATCACCTCTCTGTGCCATAGTTTCCTCATTGATGATATGGATAGGATAAAGATAGTTTTAGGTGAGGATTCAGTGAGATGATCCATGTGAGCCTCTTAGAAAGATGCCTGGTTTGCTGTAAGCACTCCATAAATGTTTGCTGATGTTGTTATAAAGCAAGCACTCATCAATGAAAGTCCATCTCCTCATGTGCATGTGCGTGCATGTGTGTGTGTGGTGGCTGGGTGGGCATCAGGGCGCTGGGTCAGCAAGCAGCCCTGCATGTCCTCTGAGCATAGGGAGTATTCAGTGACCCAGATCCCTGAGCACCTTTCCCCCATCAAGGCCCCACATGTGGTTACCTTGGCAACACTTTAACTTGGAGATAACCAGTTCTGGGCATTTAATGTTCCATGGAGAGAACCAAGCATTGTTTATCAGTTGTTCTCATGAAGAAATGACCTACCTGAGAGTCCCAGTGCTGTTCCCCAGCAATCTTGCAGCCAGCCCCCATCAAGCCAGCACAGGCCAGCTCCTGGCAGGATGTGTTTTCTTCTTTGCATGCTGCTGGGCGGAAACATGGTGCAAAAATAAAAACAAAATAATAAATAAATACATCCTGGCACTTGGCCGTGATGGGATGTGGGATGTGGGAAGCACAGGACATACAGACACCAAGAGAGGAGGTGTCCTGATAAGGTTTAAGCACCTTTGGGTCAGACCACTGGCCCTCTCAGCAGCCCCCAGCCCCACCCCAACTACCCAAGTGTTCAGGGTAGAAAACTCAAATACTTTCAGTTTTCAGGCTGGTAACAAAATTAAACGCAATGGTTTCTCATGCTGGCAACTAATTTTAAAAACACTGTGCAGGCCCAATGCGACCCAGGACCACTAGTTTACAAGCTTCGAATCATACATTCTTCAACACCTATTTACTGAGCACCTATAATGTGCCACACTAGAGATACCACACTGAACAAAACAGTCAAAAATCCTGGTTGTCCTAGAGCATATGTTCTAGTGAGGGAGGACAGATAATAACCAAAGTGAATAGGTAAAATACACAGTGTATCAGATGGCAGCAAGTGACAAAGAAAAAGATCAAACAAAGAAGGGGGTAGAGAGGTTCGGTGAAGTTGCAATTTTAAATAGAAATGCAGAGAAAGGATCTCTGAGATGTTGACCTTGAGTTAGGCAGGGAATCTCAACCTTGGCACTGTTGACATTTGGGCCAGATTAATTCTTTGTGGTGGGGGACTGTCCTACGTATTGTAGGATATTGATGCCAAGTTGCACTCTGCCTCCCAATTATGACAACCAGGAAGATCTACAGAGATTGTCATATGTCCCCAGGGGGTCGAAATTGCCCCAGGTTAAGATCCACTGGATTAAAGATCTGAAAGAGATGAGGAGCAAATTATGCAGACAACTGGGGAAGGAGCCTTCAGGCAGCTAGAACAGCAAGTGCAAAGATGCGAAGGCAGGTGCATGGCTTGTGTGTACAAGGACCAGCTAGGAGGCCAGTGGCTGGGGCAGAGTGAACAAGGTAAAGATTTGTAGAAGGTGCTTAGGAAAGACAACAGGGCACATCAGGGAGGAACTTGCACATCATTTCAGGAATTTGCCAGAGATTAACAGGGGTCTGTGATTCAAAAATTTTTTAAAATGATAGCCCTAGATTAGGAGGATGGACAGTTGCTGAAAAGAGGCCCCTGTGCTGTGTATTCCTATCCGTCCCTCTGCATCCCTTCGCCCTCCCTTCCAGCTGTCAGCCCTGGGAGGCTAAATTTTGTGGATTGTTTTAACTGGCTCAGTCTTCCCCCAGTTTCCCACTGGGTTTAGGCCATCGGAGGCACCAGCAGATGCACGAGGGCGATAGAAGAGTGAGGTCAGGACGTGTGTTCCCCTAGGCTCCTCCTGCTTGGCATGGGTTGGCAGTGGTTGCATCTTCCAGCAAGGCCACAGCTCCCATAGGCCATTCTCTCCTGCCATGATGGTGCCCATGCTGGGTCTGTGGGCATGCTCTCACCTTGCCTGGCAGGTCATAGCAACTTCTTGGAGCCCTTTGTGTAGTGTCCTGGGCTGCCATAACAAATTACCACAAACTGGGTGCCTTAGAACAACAAAAATTTGCCCGCCCAGGGACCTGAGGCATGGATCTGAAGACTGGATCACCCTCTCTCCCACAACCAGGCACACTGCCAGCACCTTGGGGCCCACCCAGGATCCTGAGATATTGATCTGGGGACCAGATGCCCCCCCAACAACCAGGCAAACTGCCAGTGCCAAGGAGCATACCAAAAATATCATCTCCATGGGGGTGGCCCACCACAAACACCACAATAACCACGGCTGCCTTAAAATCAACTAGACACCACACCTACCACGTAGATGGTCCACCAGCCACTGGAGTGCATTGACACAAGGAGAGTCACCAGCAGAGGCCAAAGAAAAGAAGAGGATGTCTCTCTCCACAAAGCCCATTCCAGAGTGACAGAAGCATCTGCTCTATATTAATATTGGGGGACCTGAACACACCTCTCAGCATTGGACAGATTATCCAGGCAACAAATCAACAGAGTAACTATTACTCTTTCAGAAGGAGAGAAGAAATCTAGGGTAATTAGAAGGGGGAGGGGGAGTGAGGGGGGAAGGGGAAAGATTGGACAAGTGGCATAAAGAATAAGTACTATTTGTAACAATATATATGCTACTAATATTGATTTGATCAATATATGTCAGCTTTGAATCCCAAAAATATGTGTAATCAATTATGATTCAATAAAATTTTTTTTTAAAAAAAAGAACAGAAATTTATCCTCTCACAGTTCTGGAGTACAGAGTCCAGCATCAAAACATTGACAGGGCTGTGCTCCCTCTGAAGGCCCTAGAGAAGGATCCTTCCTGCTTCTTCCAGTCCTGGCAGCTGCCAGCAATCTTTGGCATTCCTTGGTTTGGAGATGCTTCGCTCCAGCTCCTGATCCCATCTTCACGTGGCCGTCTCTGTGTCTCCTCCCCTTCTCACACGGTCATAAGTCATTGAATTTGGGGCATGTCCTAAGCCACTATGATCTCATCTTGATCCTTAACAAATCACAACTGCCATGACCCTATTTCCAAATAAGACCATGTTCTGAGGTTCTGAGTAGACTTGAATTCTGGAGGACACTATTCAACCCTGTACCCCCCTCTAACTCTGGCGTGCTTTGCCACTAGACACTGGTTTCCCTGGACCCTACCCACACCTTTGCAAGGAGTCCCTTTGTTCAGCTCTCCTCAAGTTCCGTGGTTGCATGAACCATCTGTTCCCCATCTGGACTCAGAAAGGTGCAGCCTGTCTGAGTGGGCTCATTTGGGATGGACCCAGGGAATGAGGGCCAGGGCAGCTTGAGAGCAGTGTTTTCATCCACAAAATAGGGTCAAAATTGCTGTGCAGAGCTCCAGAAAGGACTGAGTATGAAAATGATAGGAACACACATCGCAATGTAAAACAAGGGACCGTTCTTGTATAACAGCATTTGATATTTTGTGTTAATGGAGCAGGTACACAAACTTGGATGTACAAGAAATGTAAATTCGACTTTCCTGCATCTGAACTTAATCCAGATATAGCTCCAGTCCCCTAAGTGGCAAAAAAAAAAAAAAATGTACCAATCATTTGATTTTTGAACATGTTAGGTTTGAGATACTCATTAGAGATCCACGTGGAGAGGTTGAATAAGCAGTTGGATATCCAGAGATAGGATTCTTGGTGTTGTGAGCACAGAGATGTTTCTTAAAGCATCATAACTAGTAACTACAGTAATGAGAAGCTTGCAAAAGATGCACGGAGTGGTCTCAAATTGTGGTCCCCAGACCAGAAGCAACAATACCATGTGGAGATTGGTTAGAAATGCCAGTGTGGATCCCAACACAGACCTGCTGGATCAGAGACTCTGGGGTGGCCCAGCAGTCATGGTCACCAAAGGTCCCACTGGACATCAGTGGTTGACCAGCAAGTTCCTTTGCTTTCCTCTTGGAGAGTAACTCTCAGACTCTCCCCTAGGAGGCAGGTGATATACTCAGGAAGTTGTCAAGGCCTGAGTGACCACAGAATATGACAACTAACCAAATGCTGCTCAGCCAGAGCACATGGGATCCCCCATGGCCCCTCCAGGGCAGACACCAATGATCGGCTCTGTGGCCACCAAGCAATCAGCCCACATAGTTGAAATGTCAGAGGGAGCAGAGTCCAGTTGGCAGTTTTCTCAATGGGCAGCTTACCCACAATGAAAGATGGAAAAGATTCTGAGAAATGAAGCCAAGGGACTAAAAAGATTCCTGTGGGGTTTTCGGTTCCTTTTTTGTAGATGAGCTGTTTCATTTTGTAATACTGTGGTCCTCTCTGCTAGCCACTTAGGAGATGATTAATGCATCCTGAGACTTCCCCAGACATTTATGACACCTTCAGGAACAGCGGTGACAATGGCTCTATCATGCACAGCAACTACATACCCTTGACGTTCCTCTTATTTATTTATATATTCTGGAGCAGCCAGGTTCCCTCCCAGCAGAGCTCAGAAAGGTAATAAATGAGAAAAGTCAATGGTCTGTAAATTACAACTTTGATTAAAGAAGTGATTACTGATATAACTCTTGCTGGGCTATTATGTTAATGCCTGCCCAGATCCAGGGCAGTGTTTACATGCTAATGACAAGTCTGGGACAGCCACTAAAATTGCTTTCCATCCTTAATCAGCATGTAAACATTTTAAAACCACTCTTGACCATGAGTGAGAAGGTCCATCCGTGTACTCCCCTCCCAACTGCTCCCTGCCACAGTCCCCAGCAGATGGAGGAACTTCTCTCAGCCCAGCCCACACAGCTGCCCCTGCAAACACAAGTGTACATCGAAGATGAAAATTGGGTCCAGCGTGGCCATCCAGAGTTCCTGGAAGCTGGGCAGAGAGGTGATCGGATCACAAGAGTTCACTGCTCAGCACTGGATGTTATTCGGCTGGGTCCACAGACCACCAGAAGAGGACTCCACTCTTTCCAGGGTACACAATCCAGACAGGAGAATCAGCAGTGACAGCTTAGCATGCAAGTGCCATGCGGGGAGCCCATGAGTGACTTCATCAGCTCTGAAAAGTTTTGCTAAACTGGGTGTATGCATTCCTCTAGCAAGAATTAGCTTTATGTGTATTCTCAGAGTAGTCAGTGACCCCGAAAAGATTAGGAAACACTGCCTGAGAGCTTTCTAGAATCTTAAGAATTAATTTCTTGTGTTTTCACTATTTGGGGTGCCATCTCCTCTCAGTCTCTTTTTGCATCTCCCCTCAACCCCAAGATTGTTGATGGTTGTCCTGAAGCAGGAATCCCTGTGAAAGGAGGGCCCTGTTTATCCATCTCTCCCTCCATACATCCGTCTGTCCATACATCAGTTTGTTCATCTGTCCATCTATCTGTCTATCCATCCATCCATGCATGCTTCTGTCTGTTCATCCATCTGCCCATCCATGCATACATTCTTAAATATCTTCATCTCTCTTATCCATCCATCTATCCATCCATCTACCCATCCATCCGTCCGCCCGTCCATTCACCCATTCATCCATCTATCTGTCCATCCATCCATCTATCCATTCATCCATCCATTCAATATCCACTTTGCTGAGCTCCTGCTTCATGAGCAGCTGGTGCAAGGAACCAAGAAATCAAAGATGGGTAAGACATACCTTTTGCCTTCAAGAGTTTTACAGTATAGGAGATGATATGCACACATGGGGTCAACTTAAATCACATCCCACTAACTCGACTATGCAAGATAGGTTATATTGTTTCTCTATAACTCAGGTGGTTTCTGTTTTCAATTTTCAGTTCATTAAGATGACAGAAACAGAATCCCTGGCTAATTTCCAGAGGGCTTACCTACTGCTGAGGCATTGGGGGAGGGGGCTTCTAGTCTTCTAGTCTCTGTTCAGAGTTCCTAGGGCGTCATCCCTCATCAGCCACAGTCAGCACAGTTACCTCTGCAATGGCCTCATCCTCATCCGTGTTGCCTCTTCCTGCTTCCTGCGAACACAGGAGCCTTTGCTGTTTCCTTGCCATGCTGGGAATGTCCATGAGTCTGTATATAGATTTGTCTTTGAATGAATGTCATTGGAACACAAGAGCCAGATGCTTGCAGACTTTTATTTTTATTTTCTCTGTATGTTCGTTTTTCTTTCTACCGTTTCTTCTCCCTTTCCTGAAGCAACAACCTGCTAGAAAGGAGAAAGGAAAGGGAGGAATACAGAGGAAGGGAACATAGGCTGGTAGTCTCTCATATGGCTCTACCACTCACATAATGAGCAACCATAATGCAAACATATCAACAATCCAGGGCAGTCATGGCAGGCAGAACTGCATGTGCCAAGACCTGGGTGTCATCAGGACCATATGTGACTGGCAGGGAGAGTGTTGGAATGGTGAGAATCCAGCTGGACAAGGCAGCACTACAGGCCCTTCATATCCTGGGAGTCTGGATGGGGTGGGTGTGGCTGACTTTCTGAGCAGACATCAACCTGGGGTACAGACACCTGTGGTGTTCACATCACAATCCCTCAGCCACCACTTCTGGACTGTCCAAGTTCAAGTTCACTTTTTGATTGCAAAGTCTCACTTCAAGCTGCTTTCTGTACCAGGCTGGGAAAGCCCTCCACCAGTGGGAGACAGAAGCTGGTAGATAATATTCTTGCCTCATATCCCTCAGGTGGACAGTCCTGGATGCTTTTTATGAGGCCTCAGATGTCACAGTAGCAGCCCCCAAAATGCACCTTCCCATCGTCTTTTCCTCAGTGTCTGTCTCCTTCACCCCTGCTCCCTGGGGTCACTTCCCAATTAAATTGACTGCACCAAATCCCTGTCTCAGGCTCTGCATTGGGAGGAATCTGAATTAAGCATGTGTGCTTTGCAAGAGAACAAGACAAGCCAAAGAAGGGAGGACTCCAATGCCCCATGGACTTTTTCTCCATACCCACTCCCCCTGTCTTTGCAGGTGTCCGACCGCTGCAACTATGTCTTTGTCAATGGCAAAGAGATAAAAGGCAAGATGGATGCAGTGGTGAACTTCACGTACCAGTACCTGAGTGCCCCCCTGCACATCACCGTGTGGGTGCCCCGGCTACCCCTGCAGATCGAAGTCTCTGACACAGAGCTCAGCCAGATTAAGGGCTGGAGGGTTCCCATCGTGGCCAGTAAAAGGTGAGCCCAGAATGGGGAGATGCTCTAGAGCCCTGCTAACAACAGCTTTATGCACTGACCTTAACACTAAAAGATCCAATACAGGACCCAGCGCATAGTAGGTGCTGGTTTTACCATGTCAATTACATCTCCCTCAATCCTATCAACAACCCTCTGGGAAGGCAGGGCTCTAAGATAACCCAGCCAGGCACAAAGGCTGCTGAACAGCAGGTCGGTGTCAAACCCAGGTTGTGTGCATTTGACACTTGGGCTCCAATTATGCTGTCTCCTGCAAGCACCTTGCCTAAAATGATGTGACACAGGCAGCACATTTTTCTAGCCCCTCGGTCCCCAGGGAATTTGAAGTTTGGTTTATTCCCTCTTCTGTGCTTTGTGATTACAGTAAGCTTTAACTGTTTTGCGCAGATTAAATTATTGGATAAAATTTAATTGCATTTATACTGAACTGTGGGGTCACTGTTTACAAAAAGCCTCTAATTTATTTGGTGTGACTCGGACTGTCATGTGTAGGAGTTTGGGTTCTCATTTTCTTAATTCGGTGCCCCACACATAGGCGTATATTTGCCAGGTGAGGGTTGTTGCTGAGTTCATGGATTTCTGCCTGGAATTCTCCCTCCCAAACCATCAGGGCTATTTCCTAACAGTACCCCAGGAACCAGGGACTTCATCGTAAGGGACAAACTAGAAAGTGCCCTCGAGGACAGTGAGACACCAAGTCCAATGCCACAAGGACTTGAAGGAACTTGGGCTGATCAGGGGAGGTAGCTAAGAGCCTCGCCAGCCCTACAGATCTCATAGTGGTCATGAGTGGCCAAGAGAATGGGTTCACTCCATGTCCCTGAAGAAAGCAGGACTGAGACCCTCTGGGTTCCAATCCAAGCTCTGCCACTCACTTGATTTGTGAGATTCCTCAAGCTCCCTAACCTCTCTGTGCTTTGGTTTCTTCATCTGGATGTGAGAAAAATGATAGGTCTGCTCCACAGTGTTATGAGAGTAAAAGAGTTTACGCATGTGGAAGCTTAGAGAGGGACTTGGCACATCTCAAGAGTGTGATACAGCTCTGTCCAATAGAACTTTCTATGGTGGTGGAATGTTCTAGAACCACCCTGTCCAATATGGCACACTTGGGCTATAGCCGGTGTGGCTGAGAAGTTGAATTTTTAAACTTATCTAATTTTTATTCATTTAAATTAAAATATATATAGCCATGTGTGGGATAGCTTAGGCTTAGTAAATATTAGCTGTTAAGTCTTTTCATTTGTCAATCAATGTATTCAAGAAAGAGATGTGCAACCCTCTGCACTGCCACCTGGTGGAATCAGTGCTCCTCGTGTGGTCCTGGGGCTCCCGTATTGAACATTGTCTCCCTGAGGTTGAGACGGGCTCCAGCCTATCTCCTCTCCCTGGATCTGAGAGCTCCTTCCCTTTCCCACAGGCCCACACGAGAGAGCGAGGATGAGGATGAGGAGGAGCGGCGGGGCCGGGGCTGTGCCCTGCAGTACCAGCGTGCCACCGTGCGGGTCCTCACCCAGTTTGTGTCTGAGGGTGCAGGCCTGTGGGGTCAGCTGAGCCACCTGCTTAGTCCCGACTGGCAGTTCGACATCACCCACCTGGTCACAGAATTCATGAAGTTGGAGGAGCCTCACGTGGCCACACTCCAGGACAGCAGGATCTTGGTCGGGCGGGAGGTTGGGATGACGACCATCCAGGTAGGAGCAGGAGTTCGGGATTTCTGTATCCGCAGCACGCAGCATGCCATGCAGTATTGGGTAGGGGATTCAAAGGGGTGCAGATCACAGTGGCCAATTCCTTGCCCCCATGATGGCTGCAGATGGCATCATGGGGACACAGAGAGGTGAGCCTGGACCAGCTCTTTGAGCTCCAATCTCCTTCCAAACAGAAGTGAGAAGTTGGGTGCTGCACACCCCAGCTGCACACCCCAGCTCCACTCTCAACGGCACATCCCCATCCCACCACCTGCAAACACTCGCCATCCTGCCTCTCGGTCTACCACTCAGTACCCTCTCTCCAGACTTTTTCCTCCTCCACCTCTCGGAAACAGCCTTCATCTCAATGTGCTGCTTCTACCAGTCATCAGGCGAGGAAGTGTGGATTCTTCCTCTCACTCCTTTCCTTCAGTCACTACATCATGCTTCTATTTGTTTATTCAACCAACTCTCCCTGAACTCCTACTGCCTATCTTTCGCTCAAAGAAAAGTATAGAATGGTAGGATTTCAGGACAGATGGTGGGTCATGGAAGACTTTTC